CTGCACTGACCGTCTGTTCCACCACTTCATCCCCCTGCCCATCAGGAATGGGAGCTTCCTACCTCTGTGTGAGGTCACCCCTTCTTTCATAGGGCAGTTCTGACAGATCCTGGACCTGAAGCAGGCCCACAACACCTCAACCCTCAGGCCTGGGTCCCCAAAACCACCTTCCTGGGGTGAAGAAGCCATACCACCTTACAACTGTTCTGGAGCCTGGGGTGGCTTTTTGCTCCCTTGTCAGCAAGGGCCTTGTCACCCATGGTGTGATCGGGTCTGTGCTTAGTGTGGGAACACAGGGAACTATGCCAGGCCCTTGGAATGGAGTTGGTGCTCCTTCGGTCATTATGCTTGGAGTCACAGGTGGCAGCTTCCTGGCTGAGGAAGAGGCAGAGAAGCACTGTGAGATGGCTCCCTGAGCTTCACACTCTCCCCACCCCCAGGCGTCTGTTGCCAAGAGCCAGATGTGGGCCCATCCTGGTCCCCAGCCAGAGGGAGTCACCCAGGGGTTTTCAGGCCAATGCTCCGTGAAATCCATGTTCCACCAATTACCAGCCTTCCCCTGAGAAGGCTGAGGGATACTCTATGGTCTCAGTCTGCCCTTGAACAGGGGTGGGGGGTGGTTTGCACAGAGCGGGCCAGTGAGGACCCCTCATCTTCCTGTGTCCCCCCATCCACCTGCAGCCTTTTATTGAAGGCTTGCTCTGATGTGATTTTGCACTGAGCTCCAGAGCGCACCATTTCGTTTCCACACTCACCTGTGTCTCCCTCCTTCCTACTTTACTTCATCAACATTTCTCACTTGTCCCTGGTTAGGCTGCCCAAAGGCTGGGGACTGGGGCTGAGGTGAATAGGATTTTGGCCTGTTCTTGAGGAAAGGGTGATCCAGTAGAAGAAATTAGGTGAACCTGAGCGGGGGTGGGGGGTGAGGTGATAGGGCAGATGACAGGGAAGAGTGAGGCAGCCAGAGGCTGCTCAGCCCAGAACCCAGTGACCCCTCCTGCCCACCCTGTCCCCTGTGGGTAAGGGCAGGGTGTGGGCTGAACTGGTCCAGGAAGGATAGGCCAGGATTTGGAATGGGCAGAGAAAAGAAAGAGGAGAGGGAAGTGAGCCTGGGAAACAGGTGGTACCAAGTCAAAGGGGAAGAAAGGACTGGCTTAAGGACTGGACCCTGCTGTATGTGGAGCAGAGGATGGAGACCTCAGGGCCTATCATGAGAGATTTCAGGTATCAGGCTGAGGAGCTTGGCCTTTATCCTGAAGCCACTGGGGAGCCATGCAAGGATTCTGAGGAGTTACCTGACCGGATAGATAGTGCTCGGTGCAGGGTGGAGTGGAATAGAGGAGTTGAATTGGGGTAGGGGGCTGGAGAAAGACCAGAGGAGGAGGAAGTAAGCAGGGCCAGGGGGGTGATGGAGGGAGTGAATACATGGGAGAGAATTACAGAGGGAGAATTGGCGGTGATAGATTTGATACAGGAGGTGCAGGAGAAGGAAGAGGCAAAGCGACTTTGTAGTTTCTAGACTGGGGATTTGAAGTTTGCTGATGCCTTTGATAGAGACAAAAGATACGTTGGATGTGAATATTCAGGTGTATGTGGGCCTATGGGATGTTCCCACAGATGTCCAGGAGGCAACCTGTATTGGTTGTCTGGAGCCCCAGAAACAGGGCTGGGCCTGGGTGGGGGTGGGGAGGCACTAGAAGTTGGTGCGTTTGGGGAAGGCTCCAAGCTCCCTGAAGGTGGGGTGGAGAAAGAGGAGAGAGACAGGGCGCGGTGCCCCTGTGAAGAGCACCCATGTTGAGGGGGCAAAAATAGGATGAGCCAGCGAGAGAGACAGAGGAGGGGCCGTCTGGAAGGTGGGAGGGAAACAGCCGAGCAGGAAGGCGGCGGGAGAGGGCGCTGAGAAGAAGCCGCCTTCTTTGGCAACGAGGAGGTAGCTGGAGCCTGCAGTCCTCGCGAGGCAGTGGGCGCAGGGCGGAGGCTGGATCTCAGAGGCTGCATCTTCCCGTCGCTTCGGGCACCCACCCGCCTCCCAGCTTCCTCTCACCTCCTGCCAGATCCCCAACTAGCAAAAACCGGTGTCTGCTGACCGGCTGCAGGGCGGCGGGCCAGGGCCCGTGAACGCGGCACGCCCCGATCAGCACCCGGGAGAGCGGCCGGGGCCTGCGGCGGGGCGGGGCTTCGCGGTGATCCGCTCCGGGCCCTCGGTTCCTGCCGCCGGCCTAGCAGGCCAGATGGAGGTGGCGGTGGGAAGAGCAGGCCAGGACACCGGCCCCTCTCCCCTTTCAGAAGCACCCCCCCCACCCCCACCATTCCGGCAATGCCCTACAAGAGCCCCTACCCCAGCATTTCAGGCTGTTACTCCCTCAGCCCCACCAATTCAACCTCTTTAGGAAAAGGGAAGGGAGGAGAGGACTACGGCTTTTTACTGGGAACTTTACAGACATTTCCAAAGCCTTACAACTCTTTGAGCTTGGAATTTGTGACCTCTCCTTTCAGATGAGAAAGCTGAACTGAAGTTAAGAGAAGTTAAATAACTTGCCCAGGGTGCATGGATGGCAGAGCTGGGATTTGACCCTCTACCTGCCTGGCTGTAAGTCCTAGAGTACCAGAGTACCCAGTAGTCCTGGATCTTGCACCTCATTCCTGCAGACTCCTTTGTTCTGGGGCAACTGTGGAGTCTGGTGTGGTAGTGGAATGGGAGGAGACCTTCCCTCCTACCTGTCTTGCTTGGGTATATTCCCAGGAGGTTTCTGAAGATGAGGCCTCCACCATCATTTCCAGAGCGAGAGGGCAGAAAGGAGGCTGAGGGGCAGGTGAGGCTTCAACGCACCAGCTTCTCCTGTGCCCAACAGGTGCCCTCCTTTGAGCTCCTCTGACTCAGCTTCTTACTGCCAGGCTCCTTGGGGCGTGAAGGGGAGTTGTGAGAGGCCAAGCCTGGACATGATCCAGGGCCTTGGCTTTCTGGGCCCGAGAAATGCCTTCCTAGCCAGCAGGCATGGAGCAGTAAGGTCCCAGGTATGGGTCAGGCTGAGAAAACAGTTTGCCCAGAGTTTTCAGAGATCTGAAACTAGACCTTCTGGGGCCACAGTGGGAAGCAAAAGCTCCCTCATAGTTTCTTTCCTGACACTTAGTAAGCCATGAGAAAACTGCTTTCTGTCAGCCTGGACAGGCCTCCTGCACAAGCTGCATCATTCCTGTCCATCCCACCACCGCTGCACCTCTGTGCCTGTTAACAGGGATTAGGTTTTCCCTCAGTCTCATGGGCGCTTCTGCATGGATCCTGTTGTGTGTGGCAGGGGTCCTTGTCCCCACAGGTCAGAGAAGCGAGGTTATTGGTGAGGATTACACATGGCCCCCATAGACTGGAATATACCTGCTTTTCCTGGTCTCCTCCTTTTAAAGACTCAGCTGATATTCTCTTCTACAGGAATGCTTACCAACCCCAGACTGGGTCAGAGGCCCTGTTTGGGCACTACATACTCTGTGCTTCCCTCTGTCACACTACAAGTCATTTCATCTCCTGCCTCCCCCCCCCCCCCCACACCACCACACACACAACTTGACTGGGTGCTTCTCCAAGGCAAGGAGCCGTCTGAGTCATATTTAATGAAGTTGGCCAATGACAGGTGTTTGTGAACAAATGAATAAGTTAGTGGAGGAGCCAGCATTTGAACCCCCATTTCCCACCTCAAGGTGTGGAGCATTTTCTTTTATGTCCAACAGTCCCTCTGCTGAGACAACTCCCTACCTGTCCATTGCCTAAAATGCCCCAATTCCATTGGGTTAAGGCTTCCTCCTGAGGAGTCCTCTCTGGCAACAGGGCAGAGGTACAGCAGGCCTCTTCCCATGCCTATAACCTGTGGACACTGAAAACCACGTGGGCAAGTTGTGCCCACAACTCCTAGTACAAGTGCATGTTTCTGGGCGCCTGGATGGCTCATTCAGTAGAGCATGTGACTCATCAGGGTTGTGAGTTTGAGTCCCATGTTGGGTGTAGAGATTAAAAATAAAATCTTTGAGGCGCCTGGGTGGCTCAGTTGGTTGAGCGTCCAACTCTTGATTTCGGCTCAGATCACGATCTCACGGTTCGTGAGTTCGAGCCCCACATCGGGCTCTGTGCTGACAGTGTGAAGCCTGCTTGGGATTCTGTCTCTCTCCCTCTCTCTCTGACCCTCCCTCACCCTCAAAATGAAGAAATCAACTTAAAAAATATATATTTTTTTAAAAAGTGCACACTTCAGCATCAGCTCCCACAGTGTCCCAGCTAAGCAGAGCCACCAAGAGGTAGACTCAGTGACAAAGCTCTGAGTTCAAAGACCATTAGCAAGAGCACCCAGAGCCTCCTGCATCCCCAGCTCTATGCTGGGGATGCACCCCCTATACATGATACCGACTCAGGGAGCCCAGAGGAGCTGATTCTGCCTGGAGGCCCAGCCCTTCCTTTCTTGAGGAGGGTGAGAAGTGTCTCCTGACCCTGAGAGCCTCTGTAATGGGGTAGCACAGGGTCTGGGTTCCGTCCATCTGCCCCTCACCCCAGCTCCCATTCTAGTCAGTGCACAGTGCAAATCCTTCATCCTCGTACCTCTCTGGGTTCCTCTGTCAGTCTGCCTGTCTGTATGTCTGTCTGTCTCTCTCCCCTCCCCCATTTCCATCTCTGCTTTTTTTTTTTTTCTTCTTTTCTTTTCTTTTCTTTTCTGTCTTTGTTCCTCTGTGTGTGTTTTCCCTATGCCTCTCTGATCTCTTTATATTTCCATCTTGATCTCTCTGGAGCTCTGCTCCCTTTCTTCTTTCCTTCATGTGTTTCTCCTTCCTGTCTGTTTCTCTCTGTCTCTGTTTCTCTCTCTGCCTGTTCCTCTGTGTGTGAGTCTTTCTTTTCCTCTCTCCCAGCCAGAGTCTCTCTCTACCCCTCCCTCCCTCTCTCCCTCTCTGTCTGGGCCTCTCTGTTCCTCCTCCCTCCTCCCTCCCCCTTCTGCATTATCAGACCTGCTCCAACCTCCTCCCGGAGCCAGCCTAGCGGCAGAGGCAGTGGCAGCAGGAGAGGTGGGAGCAACTGGGGCAGCAGCAGCAGCAGCGCTGGACTGGGGTGTTGAGTCCAGACTGAGTTGGGGACAGGCTCCTGCTCTTGGTCCTTGTGCCCACTGGGCCAGGCACCCTGCCTGGAACCCCGGGCAGGGTGGACAGGGCGAGGGGCCACCTTAGTCTGGCTGGGGAGGCAGACGATGAGGAGCGATGGGGCAGGCATGCGGCCACTCCATCCTCTGCAGGAGCCAGCAGTACCCGGCAGCGCGACCGGCTGAGCCGTGAGTACTCTCCAGGGGCTGGGGTTTGGGTGAGCGGCTGCAAGGCATACCAGGGACTAGGGTCCTGGGAGTGCCGCTGAGGAGCTGGGGTTGGCGTGGAGCTGAGCCACGTGGGAGGATCGATCCTGCTCCTGGGCGCCCCGTTGCTGGACTGTAGCCTGGGGCGGGGTGGGGGGGGGGCCGCGGCTCTGCACAGGGGGGGGGGTTTCAGACATCAACCTAGGGGGTGATGAGGGTGGTGTCCCATAGAAGAGGCTGGGGGAGGGGTTGGTAATGAACCTGAATTATCCTTTCAGGGGCTAGGGGTGGGGGGTGTCTCTGCAGGGAGTTCCAAGGAGGTCTGGGGGGCTGAGATAAACTGGTTCAGGACCCTAGAGAAGGATGAGATGTCTGTGACCCAGTGTTGTGTGTGTGTGTGTGTGTGTGTGTGTGTGTGAGAGAGAGAGAGAGAGAGAGAGAGAACAAACATGAATATGAATGAGTAAGTGGTGCTGGAACAGAATAGGGTCCCGGGCCACCGCCTTTTGTGGGACTGGGATTCATGGCCACTAGTTTCGGCAACTTTACCCCAAAACATCTGTCCCAGAGAGCCACGAGGCTGGTTGAATGAGGCCCCTGTGCACCAGCCTCATGTGCATCCACGTGCATGGGTGCGTGTGCAGGTGAGTGGAATGGGGGGTTCCGTGGAGGCTCCCCTCCACCATCTGACGGCTGCTGAGGTGGGGGGCAAGGGATGTGTGTCTTCAGGTCAGTGGAGGTGCAGTTCTATGCCTGCACGTGAAGGTGTGTGTATGTGTGTTACAGGTGTGAGGTGCAAGGGGACCTGTGGGGTGTACAAGGGCCTGTAGAGTCCTTGGTGTCTGAATGTGCGGTGGCCTGGCAGGATGTGTGAGCAAACCTGTGTGACTGTGAGAGGTCATCTGCACACGTGTGAGTGCAGGTTGCTGTGTGTGTGGGTGTAGGTGTGTGTGTGTTAGTTTGAACGTATGTGTTGGCACGCATGTTAATCTGTGTGCCGCGTCTGCAAAATAAAGTGACTCAAAACTGAGCACGTTGTTTGATTCCACGCACCTTCCTGTTTGTGTGCTTATTTGTTAGTGCGTGAATATTAGTGTTGCGCTGTGTGTGTGTGGCATAAGTGTTCAGGTGTGGGTGTGTGATCGTGTGCTGGTGCGCTTGAGTGTATATTGGTGCCTGTGTGGCTGGTGTACGTGTGTGTGTCTCTGTGTGTGTTCATCTGACTGTGCGTGGGTGGCTGTTTCCTTCCCCTGCTGGTTGAGGACACAGCTGGGACACTGTGACCCACCGAGGCAGGGCGGAGGTGGCTGAATGTGCGACCACCTCTGTGAGCCCAGGACAATTCATTCTACACCCTGTGGGGAGATGCAGAAATGAAATAGGCAACAATGGCCCTGCCCTCTGGGGCCTCCTAAGCTTCCTAGACATAAAATGGCTTGAGAATAATTAAGCTTAAAGACCAGGATCTAGCTAACAGGTGGGGGTGGAGTGGGAGCAGCATAACAAAGGCCCTGGGTGGGGATCCCCCGTATCCCTGGAGCAGTGAGGAGGCTGACCGGGTTGGTAGCAGCCTGTCCTGCAGGACTTTGAACTCCAGGCCTCTTGGGCTCTATCCGGAGGGCCCTAGGGAGTCCAAGAAGGTTCTGTGTGATGGAGGGACAGAATTCTGTGAGTTTGAGAAAGCTTCCTCAGTGGCATGGTCAAGGTTGGACTAGCAAAGAGAGACAGGACAGGGGGGCCAGGCCACTGTGGACATCAGGGAGGTCCGGGGCCAGGTGGGCCAAGGGGCAGATGACCAGGGCCTTTCTGAAGGGAGAGGTTGGAGGGCTTAGGAAACGATGGGATGGGGGACGTCGAGGTGGTTCAGCTTGGACTCAGGTGGGAGATGCAGTGGCAGGACCCCAGAGGGTCAGGATGTCGGAGGGAAAAGCTGTTGGAAAGCTCAAGCCAACAAGGTAGCAGGAGAGATCCCCTGTAGGACTTCTGACCAGGGTGAAGAGGGTTGGAGATCATGGAGCCGTGGAAACTGAGGCTATGTCTTTGTCAACCTGCTCTGGCTACGAGGCTGAGGCTGAAGCTCTTTATCAGAGGCAAACTGAGGCCTCTTTCCTCAGGGCCTGCAGGGGACCTGTTGGTTGCCTGAACTGGGTTGGCTCAGTGAGGGTTAATCGCCTTTATGCTCCCCACACCCCCAGTTGCCCCTGCCCACCAAGCAGCTCCTGCCACTCTTTCTGCTTCCCACTCCAGCCTCCTGTCCCTGGGGACTGCTGATGGCTTGGCTGGGATCTAGCCAAATAGGGGAGGCAGAGCTCCCAGCAGTACCCGCCTTCGGTCTTAATGGCCTGGGAGTCTCACCCTGAGCTGGGCTGCTGTCGGGGCAGGCCTGTGCTCCCCAGGCTCCTGCTACTTGGGCCTGTACAATCTACCCACTTGGCATGCTCCTGTTCCTGCATTTCTGTGTCCATCCGTTCATTGATTCACTCAACAGCGACTCTCCAATGCCTGCTTGGTGCCCACGGGGCTGGTCACTGGGGACACAGAATGGACCCAGACCCAGACCCTGCTCTCAGGGACTCCCGGTCTGATGAGGGAGGCAGGAGTGGAGACCTATAACCTTGCAGTGTGAACAGTGCTGTGCAGAGGGAAGCCCCCTGGAACTGTGGGACCCACACCAAGCTGGGGCTTCAGAGGATGAGTCACTTGAGCTGCATCTTGAAGGATGGATGGGGATTGCCCATGGGAAGAGCAGAGGGAACAGCATGGAAATCCGATGTGAGAGTGCTGTGTGATCAAGGAACAGAAAGGGGTTGGGTTGGCAGGATGAAGAAGGGAGTGGAGAAGAGGAAGAAAGGGCAGGAAGAGCCAGATTCTGTAGTCTCAAATGCCAGACTAAGGGGCTTGGGTTCTCCTCTTAGGACTGGGTTGCTGAGGAAAAGTTTTCAAAAGGAAGCCTCCCCTAGGAAGCCCTCCTTGGTTCCCCCTCCCTCTGACCCTGTGATCCACCCTGAGGTCTCCCTGATAGTACAGCATCAAGAATGTGGCCCAGGGGCACACAGTTGGCTCAGGCAGAGAGCATGTGACTCTTGATCTCAGGATCATGAGTTTGAGCCCCATGTTGGCCATGGAGCCTATTTAAAAAAAGAAAAAAGAATGTGGCCCAGAGTTGGTCTTTCCCTGTGATGCCCCTCTGTGTGAGGTCCTTTACCCAGCCAGCTAAGGAGCAACTCTAAGGCAAGAGCCACCCCCTCATGCTTCCCAGCACAGGGCTGGGCACCTAGGCTCAGTGCAGCCTCCCAGTGGGAGAGGACATGAAGAGCATCTGGGCCACCTTCTAGCAGTTGCTTTACTCCTTCCTGCAACCTGCCCACAGATCTGATCAGCCCTGCTTACATACCCCCGGGATGGGATGCTCATCCCTTCCCTCTTGGGCAGCCCTTCCCTTGGAGTGGTTTTATCTGTCCTGGGCTCCTTTACAAGGCCTGGCTACTTGGCCTTGTGCCCTTTCTCCATCCTGGGTCACTGTCCTTCCCCCTTAGCAGGGCCAAGCTGGGGCATAATGGTTCAGGAGTGGTATGAACACATCGTGGGCAGAGAATAGAGACAGATAAGCAGCCCTTATTCCAACTACAGATGGTCAAACTGAGATGGGCCAGTCCCTGACCCCTCTCCAAAAGGAATGATAAGGAAGTAGGCATGGCCAAGAAAGGGGATGAGGATAGACAACGGGAAGAACTTCCTACCAGCCCAGAGAGGTGTGGAATCTCCTGACTTTGTGAGAGTGGGCATGAGGGGGAAGTCTTCCGGGACAGGAGGGAGAGCTGGAGACTGAGGCACTCACTTCTGCCCCTCCTGCAGGTGAGGGAAGTCTTCCAGGGACAGGGGGACTGCAGGGGCTGAGAGAGACAGGGGAGGGGGATCAGGATTCATTCATTCATTTATCTGACATTTACTGGGTTGCTGCCCGACCAGACATACCAGCTCTGTGGGGAGATAGACAGAACAGTGACCACACGGAGGGACACCCATGATCTCCCCTACCTCTGCCAGTGGCAGGAAGGTATTTAAGAAGAGGGGCTCTTGGAGCTAGCCTTAGAAGGAAGACTTCCTTCATGAGGCAGAATTGACAACCCCACAGGAAGAGCACATACCATGTGCAAAGGCCTCAAAGGGAAAGCAAGCTTGGTTTTGTTTATGTAAGGACTGTAGGAATTCAGAGTGGCCTAATCATGAAGTGCAAGGGTAGGGGAAGGTCTGGGCAGAGAAGGAGAAGGAGACAAGTGAGGGAATTGAGGTTAGACTATAGGAAGCACTTTCTGTGGCCAAGGTGCCGCCAGCAGCTTTGACTTGGAGGCGTCATTGTGAATTTGCAACTTCTTGGTCTCTCCCAGTGGCCCCATCAGGGCCTGCGGAGGGGCTCCTCCTTGCTTGAGAATGGGATGTTCAGTGAACAGAGACCCTGAAAATGGGGGAGCGGCAGCAGTTGAATGTGAGCCCCTTCCAGAAAGTGGCATGCAAATGAATGCAAAGTAATATGCAAATAAGCCAGCTTAGGCTTGGCAGCTTTGTCTGGGAGGATGAGACATCACCCCCTTCCACGCTGGCCTCCCACCTCCTCTGCCCCAGCCCCCCACTCCTCCCCACCCCCAGAACAGCCAGAACCGCCTTCTCTGCTGCTTCGACTGCCCTAGCTTGTGTGAACCACAAGATTGTGGCCTCTCTGTCAGGGACCATGGGCTCCCTGTCAGCACCCCCATCTTCTCGGGAAGTCGATATATTTAGTAACGGATGTTTTCAACACATTTATCTCCCATTGTTCAGCTGCCCGCTCCCTGGGAAAGGCCAAGTCCCCAGTGACATGACCCACTTTTTGAATTCCCTGAAGTCCCTTTTCACTGCCCTCCCTGAAAAACAGGAGGCAACTGGGGCTTGGTGCAGCAGAAGGGATTTAAGTCAGACATCTGGAAGGACTTCCCAACAGTGTA